CGCGCCCGCCGTCAGCCAGTCCCGCCACCTGTTCGCCTATAATTTTAAAGCTCAACCACAAGTGTACGGCTTCGCTCGTAGTATGTGGCAAGCAAGGTCGTATCCCAAGAGACTAAATAATTAATATGTCAAGTACCATATTATGATAATGTCAACTTTATTTAGACGACCAAATATGAGATGGATTAACTAAACTAAGAAAATATAATTAAAGAGAAATAAAGCAACAAGGAGAAACTAGCTAGAAAAACACGTAAGAAGATGTATGAGAACGATAGATTCTAAGACTTTGGTTTCAATTAATAGTTGGGTTCCTTCAGAAGTATCACAACCAATGTTTTCTTTATCTTCCCTATAAGATGATCACAAATTTAGCTTATCGTCCCTCTCAAGATCGATAAAACCGTAGATTAAATCACATATATTAGCGTCTCCACTCAACACATGCAATTCAACTCCAAATAGATTAAAAGATCTAATATCCTCACAACAACCTACTAATCTCTCGATTCAAACAAGTAAATTGTGTCAAATATTAAAGACCTAATATTGAACTCATCTCTCGAATTATGAACAATATTGTCAAACATGTAAAAACATTGGCCAAGTGTTAAACATGAAATAAGAACAAAATATTTGAATAGGGTTCAAAAGAGAACAATCAATTATAATAAATCATTCAAAATCCCAACATATTAATCTACTACCAAGTCTTAGAATCAAATAAACTAGCCACTCATGTTCGAATTCAAATACATAGACATATTAGAAATCAACATGATCAATAAAAGTTCAAAAGGGAAGAAGAAATAAAAACTAGAATCTCGTCGATCTTTCAATCTTCTTGATCCCTTTGTGGTTGATCTTCTTTTGCTTCTCAATTGCTTCTCTTATGTGTTCTAGGGCTCCTCTAACGTGTAATCCCATTTTTCCTTCAATAATAGGTTAAATATGCCTATTTTTGTGTCTAAAAACCTTCTCCTCATCAAAATAGGTAAGCATAGAAAAACAGTTTCCGCACGCGACACGGTCATTCTGCCCGTGTCACGGGTCGTGTCGCAGCCCGTGTCAAGTGTACTGACTCAATATGCCTCTGTTGAGGTGACACTGTCTCTGACACAGGCATGGTGCCCGTGTCACAATTCAACTCGCTCGTTTTTGTTCGTTTCACTCGTTTCTTTTATTTTTTTCATCCGTGCATCAATCTATCATCATCCCGGGGGTCCTAGGTACTCACCATGCGCCTCCAATAGCCAAAAGCTCTACAAATATGTGGAACTATCTACAAAACAAGCACGTGTAATACCTTTCCAACAAATAGAGAATTAAAGCACAAATATGCAATTTATACACCAATAATGCAATGACTAAGCTCTAGATACTCAATAAATATGGTGTAAAATCACACATGAACACCACCGCCTTGCTCCGCCGCCACAGTCAGTCCCGCCACCACCTACAGAAATCGTGGGGAGAAGACAAAAGCTTAAGAGACTTCCGCATCCGCCTCGCCGCTACCTCCGGCTATCCCGTCTAAGGAGCCTGGTGATCGGGGACTGCTCAATCGTCTTCATCGGCAACGAGAAAACATTATCGGCCAGATCCATCGTCTTCATCGTATTCAACCTGAAAACCTAATCGGTCGGGCTGCCCACACCGGCCCGTCTGCTTCTCCGAACCGTCGAAATTGAAGTCGATTAATCAACTGCGTAATCATCATCATTCGACTGTCTCTTTCGCAATCCGGTTGGACCCGCCAGCAACTGCATGGGCAATTGATATCTGAAAACCTGGCCAGAGAAAACTTGATTTGGGGCTGGTTGATTTTTGAAAATTTTATAAGTCCTAGCAACCTAATTTCAATTTTATAGGTTTTTAATATATTATAATTTAGCTCATGGGTCAAGTATGTAATTTAATAAAATTTCAATAATTGCACGTTAATGTACATAGCATTGCACAATATAACATTTGAATATGCACCTTAAAAATAACTGTTCTACAAACTGCACTTTATTGATAGACACATTGTACATTAGTGTACGCCATATTGCACCTTAGCGTAACATTGCATTCTTGCAATGACTAAAATATCCCTGCATGAAAAATCAAAGATCTACTTATTTACAAGAATGTCATCGTGTGTTTGACTAAAGCTGGACCCTTTAACCGCGTCTAAAACGTTAATATATCACATCCAACGATTATAATTTATTCTTATTTATTTCACTACTACTTTTTCTCGATCTCAACCTCTCTCTATATATGTGTATAAAGCAATTGATTATGAAATACATAAGTCGTCTTCTCTTTGAATTTGCTAAACCAAGAGACCATTTTAAACTTTCATAATCACATCTATTTCATGGTATGGGCCAAAAAAAGCTTTTCCAAAATCCACTAAAAAGATATATAATATAAATTTATTTGTTTTGAGTCCGTTATACTAGTCTATTTTAATAATACCAAAATTTCGTCTTTCCTACTACTATCGATCGTGCGCATGGTTAGATCAAACAGTCAAAAACTAGCCCAAAGTGGTCCACGTGTCAAAACCTGGTCTATTACATGTCACTTAAAATTAATTAAACCACATGATTATTTTTTTTTTCAAATAAGAAAAAGGGCCAATAAAAATAAAATAGAATAAAATCCACCGCATACGGTCACGTGTCGGTCACTTTAAAAATACATTTCACAAGTGGCGTAACGGCTCAAAAGCACTGCTTGCCCCTTTTAACTCTAAACCCAACAGAAATACAGAGAAAAAGAAAAAAAAAAAAGAAGGAAAAAAAAAATCCACTCTTCTCTCTCTCTAAACTTTCTTCTCTTTCAACGGTGAGTTTGTTCTTGTGCATGTTGATGATAAAAATCGGCTTCTGTTTTGTGGTGGAAAGTGGTGGATCGAGGGACTCGAGTGGAGATACAGTCCTGGCCGGGTTAAGGTTTCTGAGTCGACTCGGCGGCGCTCGGCGGAGGAAGGTGAAGGTCAAAGTGATGGAGTGGTGGCGCAAAATGGCCTTCCCCGTTAAAAAGGCTTGGCTTGTCGTCTCGGCCCGTAAAAAGGGTAAAGCCCGTTCCTTTCTTTTCCTCTGTTTTTTACCTGCTTTTTTTGAGATTTGTTCGGGCTGATGTAAAGCCTGTGGATGGTCGAAGTAGTTCTGGAGTGGCCGTATCGATTTTTTCATTGACTGCCTCTGTTTGTGTTTGTGTGTGTATGTGTGTGTGCTCTGTGCAGTTACTTGATATGGTGTGTCTGTGTCATAAGGATTAGATTTTTATTTTTTTTTTCTTATTGTTCTTTTACTAATTTGGTGATTATCAATTTAAAGGGGAAATGACATTTTAGGCGCAGTTGGTGGGAGTTACAGCTGTTGATATTTTCCATTTTTATATATTTTTTTTTACAACCTATTTTTTTTGGGGAATTTAGATTTTTTTTTTAATCTTGTTTGCTTTGGTGTGGTTTACTCATAAACAGTGAAGAAAACTTTTGAGTTTTGAACTTTGTTTGATTTTTCACCTCAATTT